AAAAAATACCACTAAGGTTCGTGAGAGCATCTACTATGTATTTAAAAAAAAAAAAAAAAAAAAAAAAAAAAAAAAAAAAAAATGCAACCACTGTGAAGCCTCCAGTTTAGTTTTACGCTGTCACAATCTTCATTTCCTAGAGACAGAAGAGTGAAGGGCCAAGTTAAGGCTAGCAAGCTTAATCCATATGCTGGATGGGTGCAACGCATATATGATGCTTGCCAGTGAGAAGTAACAGACTAACAAATTACCAGAATTTCACAAAACTGGAGTGCAAACTCACTGGATTGGTTGCATCTTATAGAGAGTCGTGTTACCGGTAAAATCATTTGATTAAAATGCTACAAAAACCCCCAGCACTGCAAACATGGTCAAGAAGTGACTTGAACTACTGGTAAAGGGTCTAAGACTACAATCAACTACAGCTCCAGATATCGTCACGCCTGTCAAAGAGGCGATTTGCTCTCATCTTTAAGCGTTCACAAAACACAAATTAGTTAAAATATTTATTCCCATTATAGATTTTATAAAGGGAGAAATTAGCTACAGTGACCAAAACTGTGTTTTTACCACATGCAGGTTTTAGTACTTTTGGGGTAAGTGAAGGTGTAAAGCTTAATAATGGGTGATCCCTTGTCTGTTCATCACTACATAATCACACCTCTCTAAAATGTATACACTGAAATAAGAGTTGTTGCTATAAAAAACACGGCTGCTATAACCGACAAGATCCACTTGTCAAACATCAGAGCCGTGAAGTCCAAAACATCCCCAGGATGCTAATTTACAGTCGCTGAATTTGGAAATAGGCGGTCGGAAGCCACCACTAAATCAAACATGTTGGTCAGCTTGGGGTCACGGAGCTGCTCCAGAATGAGATGGATCATGAGACACAAAGCGCACTGGATAATCTCCTCAGCACATTTTATTACATAATAAAATAAGCTGGTAAACTAGAATGCAAACAGGATGCAAAAAAAAAAAAAAAGTGCTTAAGAGCTACACATACTGTACAAGAGCAGACCCCCAAACACCAGCTGACTGGACATAATGTGCACTGAGCCACAATGGCATTTGAGCTTTTGCTGCGGGGGAAGGGGGTCTTTAAAAACCACCAGCCAGAAGAAAAAGAAAATCTTTGTGCTGCAGCCTAACTATATTATAAAGAGCGGGGCCTTGCGATTGGCTGACAAAATGAGTGTGTGCAAGGCAGCAGTGAATAACTTGCACACATGCGGCTAGTCCGGCATCACACACAAAAACAAAGAGTTATGTAATGCTGAGGCCCACACAGAGGGGAGAGGGCGAGATGGTGTCGTGGAAGCACACTCAGCCTTGTAAATACTCACAGACATGTTCGCTCACACGTCACAAACGGCAACATTTTTCTGTGCACGTTTGTTTGTATGTGTGTGTGTGTGTGTGTGTCAGTCATAGTATGATCCAGTTTCACCCAAATCTGTCTGAGTATCTCCCTCTCCCTGCAGCTCAGCAATGTTGCGGGTGGAGGGCGCGCGGGGGGGGAGAGACGACACACGCTATAGTGTTGGAGCTCGCCTCTCATCAGATCTCTCTACATCTGCTTCATTTCCTCTTCATTCTTTATCCCTCCCCACCTTCCTGTGCTCCCCTCTCCCTTTCTCCTTCACTCCCAGTGATCTACCATTATCCTCTTGTCATTATTACTGTATTAAAGGCGGCAGATGGACACGATAATTCCTGCCCAATTCTACCCGCTGAGTTTAAGAGGTGATTTCCTCTTAAAAAAAAAAACCTGAAGACTGTTGTAGGTTATGCCACAATGTGCAATCGTAGTTATGAACATGAGCATTACACAGTTGGGACTCCATGATGTGACGTAGATTCTTCTGGAAGCTGAAGAGGGGGGAGAGCTGGCTGCCCTTTTAGCCAATCAGAGGGAAGAAACAAGGAGGGGACAGGGGAGGGAGGGAGGGAGAGCGAGCGAACGAGAGAATCGACATTCGGGAGGAAGGGAAGGAGGCAGGGAGCGAGGATAAGTGATGAAGAGTGTAGTGTGTGTAAGAAAGTCTCCACCCCCTCGTGCACTCCTCTGTTAGCTCGAGACTCACTGCCTGAAATCAACTTGGGTCCAAATCCGCTTACAACTGGATCACCATTTGCCGGTGCTGCTTTGGTTTCTTCAGATTGCTTGAGCGACACAAGTCCTCCAAATTCAGTTATCCTGATAAACTGATGATTTAATGTAAAAATATCCTTTTATTCTCAATTAAAATTCAGAGACTGATCAAGGCAGGGCTTAATAAATGTTTCTGGCAGGTGTGGTGTACAGTGCTTGTATCTCAGGCAGTACTTAGCAGCGAAACAGTGAAATAGAGTAAGAAGAGACGAGACCGACTCCTGCTGACAGCCTGTTTGCAATAACAGTCCTCAGCTGTGCCACTGCACAGGAGAATTCCCACTTCATCAAAGATGCACATCAAGCCTTGGCCTTGGGGCTGTGTGTGCTTCATGCAGAGGAAGCCATCCCATTTTCTATTTTAAAAGGGGTCTTAATTTCCTCAGAAACAATGATAGTATGCTTGCCTGGCTGTTTAACAGCTAGAGGTTGTGGGCTGCCTGGTTAGGATTGTCTGGGGATATATTAAAAGAGTTGGAAGAAGGTGGAGGAGAAAGAGAGTGAAAAGCATTGGCAATCTCTCTGAGTGGAAGGAAAAAAAAAAAAAAAAAAAAGGTCTGTGACCTTGCAGACAAAGGATACTTCTGTGCAGGTGCTTGGATAGCAATGTGCAGAAGAACTGAAGACTAGCGAATGCAAGTACTCATCACAAGGTAAGTTAGTTTTAAAACTATCCTAACAACAATACGTGATGAATGAATGTTTTCAAATGATGTTCCTCTGAGTCGCAAACCAATTTTCAAAAACATAATATATTAACAGTACTGTGCAGCCTGTACAATATTTACAAGTATATATTAAATAGTATCAGTATTCTCCTCCCCTATATGTACAATAATAGCATGCTAATAATCATTCTCACTGCTCTGTTCCTTCACTGAAGTGGTTCGTCTCGCTCTTGGACGGAGTACATACTGAAATGCAAGCCTTCTATAACTGAGCCTTTAATCCCACAAGTTAGGCCATGAATGGAGCTTTATAAACTAGCTAAAGAAAATCTCGCTGCTGTAAACAGGATTGCTGTTTGCTTATTGTCCAGTATGTTACATGTGTTCAATCTAACAGCCAGGCCTTCTTGTGAATAAGAGTGAAATCCTGTTTGATGCCTTTCCATCATTTGCCTCCAAACTGTCACAGCACACCACTTTAACGGAACTGAAATAGAAGAAAACACACACGCGCCTATTTCTAGAGAAAAGTAGCAGAAAGAGTGAATCGTGAGGGAGGAACGGCGGCATGTCTTTGAGGCTCTCCGTCTCATTTTTCCTGTGGGCTTTAAAATGTGAGCAGCGAGCCTCACAAGAGAGAAGATTAAAGGGTTTAATTAGAAGTGAATAAATACGACACGGTAGTTAAGAGGGAAACCCGTCACTGCATTACATTCCACACAGAGAAAAATGCTGTTTAAAAATAAATAATAATAATAATATTTTTAAAAAATATTTAATATCTGACAGCACAGTGCAGAGAACGCAAGGTTGTGAAGGTCAAAGCGTTAATCAAACGGTAACTATGGGTCTGAATATATAATCTCAGGATCGACATTCACTTCCAGCTCTTAAGTGTTTCTCTCCAGACCTACTCTCCACCTGCAGAAGAGCTCCACAGGTTGAAGTAGGGGGGGGATCTCAGAAGACAAAACAGCTCTTGTGCCAGCAGCTGCAGGCAGCCCAGATTCCAGCGTGTTATGATTTACAGGAACCGAAGTGTGAAAGACAGTGGAACGTCCTGTCCTCCTGACCTGGGCAGCCCCTGCTGAGCCCGAAAAATGGTTCAGTCTCGCATAACAGCGTCAAACTGAAACTGCAACAAAGAAATGCCACTTGGCACTTATGTTACAAGTATCTGTTTTGCCACATTCAGGGGCTGAAAATGCTTAATTTGTCAAACACATTCTAGACATTTTTGTTTGCCACAGACTTGACCTTTGCAACTTCTCCAATAAAGCTTCCCTTCAGATTGCAGCTCACTAACCAACCAGTCCGGCCTTTAATTCCACATCCACTTTTTGACAGGCTAAACTCAGCGTGTGGGTATATTTCAAGAAAAGACACACACATACACAAAAAAGATCACGCGTGAATTATATAGCACACAAGTGTTTTATCAAAGACCCTTTCACATCTGAGTGTTGCTAATTAAATTGTACCGTAATGTCAAAACCCAAGCCCATCTGTCAGTTGTCATAAATATAATGGCTCAAGTGACAATATGCAATGACAACAGGCTCGTATGCACAATTTATGGTGTAAATACAGCTGAACACAGCTGTTACTTGTGTTGTTCCTTAAAGTGCAGCTTATCATTACCAGTACTGCATTCATTTAAGCTGTGCTGCTCGGGATAAGACATGCAGTGGTATAAATTTCCCCCCTGATCGCACCACAATTTATGGCTCTCTAGCACAAAGCGCTGGGCGTAATTAAGCGAATGTGAAACGGCAAATTAATCTGTTATGAAATTACTGCCACGACACTACTTTGTAATAATGTTATCTTTTATTGCACTATGTAAATGTGCGCCTTGATGTGCATGCATGTTGTCCCCAGTCTCTGATAGGGACAAAAATGCACAGCATGGATAGGCACACAATAGCTCATTAACCCCTAGAAATGAACTCTAGAGTAGCTTGTTGATGGTGGATGTGCACAATGCTTATTACTAATAGACTCATCTATTATTTTTCTTTTTAGGGTGCGTCGCTGACACCATGAGTGCGGCCCAGCACACACTGTGATAAAGGTCTCTGTGATACTCACATCACAGTGTTGCTGCCATGCTTCATGGCTTCCCCACACCATTAAAGCCGTTTGAGC